CCAGCACCTCCATCAGCCCAGGGCACCTCACCCGGCGAAGGGACAGACACTGCCAGCCAAGAGAGCCGCTAAGGAATGATGAAGCTGCTCAAAGCCAGATGCCTCCCACGGGAGAGGGGGAGAGGTGAGGATGTCAAACACGGCACTGTTACACCCAGGGCTCACTCAGCCTCCTGAGTTTAAGTACAGAAGGAAACAGAACAAAAGGAAAACGCTTCTGCAGCCATCAAAACACGTGTCGGGGCTGTGTGAGGGTCCCGGCAGGGTGACAGGAGGGGTGATGCTGTGTTTCCCCCTCCCTCGGCTCCCCCTCCTCTCCCCAGCCCCCGTGAGATGCAGGATCCATTAGTGGAGGAGTTCAAAGCAGCAAGGCAACAATTTCCTTTTGCCTCCCACTTAATTTGTCCCAGTCCAGAGTGACAGAAAATGAATGAAGATATTTATCCCTCGCTACAGGATTTTAATTGTCACTAATGTAATTGCTACTCTGTCCGACTGCTGCAATGCCTCTGCTCATTAAAGTGTTGCTGCTGGAGCTCTTGTTTCCCAGAAAAGGCTCACTGCAGCTTTCCTGCCTGTGATAACATGTACCCCATCACCTCGCTGTCTGGGCACAGCAAACCATAGAATCCCAGCCTGGTTTGGGTTGGAAGGGACCTAAAGCTCACCCACCTCCACCCCCTGCCACGGGCAGGGACACCTTCCACTAGAGCAGGTTGCTCCAAGCCCCTGTGTCCAACCTGGCCTTGAACACTGCCAGGGATGGGGCAGCCACAGCTTCTCTGGGCAAATAACTGCTGCTGCCGGCAAAAGGATTTGCTCCCTTTTCTGCAGAGCACCAGCCCTGCCTCCCCTGGGACGTGTGGCTGCACCCCATTGGCACCAAACCCCACTGGATGCCCCTTTGTGCTGCACCAAGGGGGCCACACTCACCCTGTGCAGGGATGGGTGCTGGGGGGCTCGGAGGCTGCGGCTTCAGGGGCTCAGCTGCAGCACCCAGGGTTGGGAGAGCCACAGGGTCCTTGGGGCGAGGAGCCAGGGTGCCAACCTCTACCTGCAAACACAGCAAGAGTGGTGGAAAAGCCACCAGGGCTCGTAGGCTTGTGCAAAGGAGCTGGTTCTCCATCCCTTGGACCAAGCCCCTTTCTTGGGATGCACCCAGGGAGGAACTGCCTGTGTCCCCCTCACCTTCGGAGCAAAGTCACCGTAGTCGTAGAGCTCCTCATAGTTGCTCAGGTCGATGATCTCACCGTAGTTGTCCAACGTCAGGTCATAGTTGTCCAGGTCGTAGAGTTCAAGATCATCATTCATCTTCTCTACTTTCCTCCTCTCCTTGGCTGGTACAGCCCAAACTGCCCCCAGACACAGGCTGGTGATGCACAGCAAGGCCAGGATCCGCATCCTGCATCCAGCCACCGTCACTGCTCCGAGGGCAGCGGTGGGACCACGGTCCTGGGGGGCTCCAACAGGACCAAAACACCCGTCAGGATGGGGCTGGGTACCCTGAAACAGGAGCAAAGAGGGACGGGGAGGCAGAACTGGCACCGCGCACGGGTTGCAGCCACTGAGGGGGACAAACGGCCTCTGCCCCGGGAACGTCACCAGCCCTTTTCTTTACAGCCCATTTCACGCTCGGCTGGGTAGCTGGGAAGGAGAGGCCCCGCGTTTCCCGGCTTTCCCAGCCTCCAGCAGCTGGGGAGGGGGTCCAGAGGTGATGTGGGGATCGGGGTCCTGCTCTGGACCCTCAGTGCGATGGGTGAGGCTGGTCACTGGCCAAGCAGAAGCAACCCCAAGGAATCCTGGCACTCTGTTGTGCTCTCTCCCCGTGGGCAATGGGGACACAGCCCTTGGCAGAGGCCACAGATCCGGCTTCATCCCTACCACAATCAGCCCAGGTCCCACCAAGGCAGCACTTTTCCCCTCAGCGGGGTAGGATGGGGATGATCCCATCTCTCCCTGTGTGCACCAACACGGTCTGGGGCAGGGGGGCTGGCTGATACCCCCAGTGTACGATACCCCATGGTGATGCACTGCCACAGATTGCCCAAAGAAGCTGTGTCTGCCCCATCCCTGGCAGTGTTCAAGGCCAGGTTGGACACAGGGGCTCGGAGCAACCTGCTCTAGTGGAAGGTGTCCCTGCCCGTGGCAGGGGGTGGTACTGGGTGATCATAAGGTCCTTTCCAACCCAAACATTCTATGGTTCTAAGTAAGACTCAACTGGAGGGGGGCTTCATCCCCTGGAGGGGATGAGGGAGGGATGTCAATGCCAGGGATGCGTCCTGTGGGCTGGGACACCCCAGCATGGGCAGTGGGTGCGCGGCAGCCCCACGGGCTGCTCGCAGTTCTGGGCAGCCTGGCACACACACAGAGCCACCCACCACTGTGAAAATGTTCTCTCCTGCAGGCACATTGAAGCCCACACGCTCACCCACCCATGGAGACGTAGCACCCATCTGCTGGCGCTCACTGGGCAGACAGGGACAACCCACAGCCCCCCACCAGCGTGGGCCTTGGCCATGCACCCGCAGTCCCCTTGCCCCCAGCATCCCCACCTTGCTCGGCGTAGAGCAGAGCAAAAGGCCACCACTAATCTTCATTAAGGCCCTCATTAGGCGGCTGGGCAGGCGCAGTGATGGAGGCGATGTGGCAGTTACAGCTGAGCTGAGCTCTGCTCCTTGGAGGGGCTGCAGGGTCCATTGCCAAGTTCCCCCTCACTGGTCCAGCATGGCCAGAGGGGACATGGGATGGGGGGAGATTGGGGAGCTCCTGCCCATCAGCCCAGCATAGGGGAAAGAGCTGCACAGCAAGAGCCTGGGCTGGGGAGGGGGCCCCAGGGCAGTGGTTTTGCTGCTGTAGAGAAGCACTCGGTGCCCATCCTTGCACCCACTTCTTGTCCCCAGAGGCAGCAGTGAATGCCTGCACTCATGGCACCACCCAAGGGGTCAGTGCAAACCCTGCTTGGGCACCCACAAGAGGGTTGGGGGGTCACCAGTGACTGGGGGGGCTCGGGGAGTGGTTGATTTGAGCGGTAACTCATCCTGCTCCAAACAGCCTCTTGCCATATCCAGCCCACATCCCCCTCCCCAGCACTGGGAAGAGCAGCACCCACCTTTGGTGCCCATCCCAGCAGCCCCACTCAGCCCCCACTAACTTTCCAGCCTTCCCCATGACACACACAGCAAGGGGAGAGCTTCCCAGGTCCCACTTCCAGAGAGGCAGAGTAACTGTGCCCAGAGAAGAAATGAACCCCTCTTGCAGTGCTCAGCTCCCCAGGGACACGGGGCTGCCTTACCCGGGGGGGCAGGCAGTGAACGCACAGCCAGGAGGGCACAATTCACACCCCGAGTCCCAAATAGGGAGGTTTTCTTCTCCAGCAAGAGCACATAAGGGCTGCTCGCTGCCTGCTCTGCGCATACACACACATACACACATCCCCTCCTGCTCCCGTGAGCAGCCCCACGCTGCAGCCCCTGCGTTCGCACCCAGCCCACGGCCACCCTCCCTCTCTGCTCGTGATTCATGTTCAGCAGCAAGAGGAGAGCTTTGAAGCTGCAGCGATGGGCAGGAGGAGAAGTCGCTGCCTACATCCATTCTGCTCGTGTGAAAACGAGCCCTGGGGATGGATGCTGCGGGTGGGAGAGATGCCTCCTGCCCCTCTGTGTGCCCTGGAGCTCCCCCGTGCTGCTCCCCCAAGGCAAACTCACCTTGGGGATAGCTGTCCAGCTTCCCTGGGTGCATGAAGGTGATGGGGGAACAGATCAGCCCAAGTTCATATACCCCATGCAGCCATAAGCTGCCTTGCAGGGACAATAATGCCCATTAGCTGCAGGTGCAGCCCTGGGAGCTGCAGCTGAGGTCAGTCAGGCTCATCTTCATTAGCAGAGGTGCTCATTAAGACAGGCACATGCTCCACAAGGTGCCCAGCATCACTCTGCAGCCATGCTGCTGCTCGTGAGCCCAACCCAGCATCACTTCAGGCACACCACAAACAGCCCCTGAGCCCTCCAGCCTCCTCCTGCAGGGACTTCCAGAGTCTCCCGAGCTCCCACTGTTGGGAAGGTTGTCCCCAATAGAGGAAATGTGGTCCTGAGGGAAGCGGCAGCTCCCGCAGTGAGGAGGATGAGGATGGATCAGCAGCGCTGGGTCCCTTGTGAATCATTTTATTTTCACTGCTGCGGAGAGTAGGAGTGAAAATACCATTAAGTTGAAATCAGTCGAGAACTACATATGTCTCTAGCTATATCTGTACAGTCTACCAGTATATATACACATTATATATAAATATATACATAGGGTCTCCGGGTTTAAGGTTGAAACCTGTCGAACCCAACAAAGCCCACGGGAGGAAGATTTGGAAGAGGATTTGCTCATGAGAAAATAAGGCTGAATTAGCACAGGGGGTGAATAAACCTTCCGTGATTCAGGGGGAGCACACAGCTCACAGGGCCGCTGGTGCATCCCCAGGCTGCAGGGAGCATCCTCATCCCATTCCCAAGGAGCAGGACACGGTGCCGGGCCATGTCTGTCTCGGGGAAGGGTGGCTGAACACAATGGAGGTACCAAGCTGGTTTCTTTGATTTATAGCTTTAATACTTATTTCAGTTGGGTTTTTTTGCTTTCTCCTCTAATGCTTGGCCTTAAATCTAAATCCTGAGAATCAGGAAGAAAAAAGAGAGACCAACCCCCCCCTAAACCCGGACACCCTATATATGCAGTACAGCTATCAAAGAGGGAAGCGATACATGTGAAACAGGGAGAATAAAAACCAGCTTTTTCAAAAGAGTCTTTCTTCTCTTTTCTTTTTCTTTCCTTTTTTTTTTTTTTTCTAACCGAAATAAAAAGGCAAAACCAGTCACATGTGTTTCGTTCGAGAAAGCAACTGAGAGTAAAACTTCCAGGAGGTGGGAGTCAAGGGGAAGACGAGGCAGGAGCAGTGGTCTTACAGGTCAACCCAGCCCCAGCAGAGCCCAACTTTACACCCATATCAACATCGGCCCTTGGATACCTAAACATGAGTGTTCTGCTGGCATCAGTGCAGAGCTGCTGGCTCTGCTCTGCCTGGGGGTCCCATGCCATGGGGAGGTCACGGGCATGGGGATCCCACAGGGATTGGGTCCTGCATTGGGAAGCGCAGGATTTAGCTAGAAGCTGATGTCCTGCATCTCCACAGCACGAGGATGCAGGATGCTGGGATGGGGCTGCAGCACCATGGAATGATGCTGCTGGGATAAAAGCTGGGGAAGGGGCTGCTCTGCAAAGGAGGGTTTATGGTGTGTTGCTGCAGGGAAGGTGCAACCCACTCAGGGCGCAGCAGAGCCCAGCTCCAGCGCAGGGGCTGGGCACCCTCCCTGCTCCCTCCTGCCAAAGCCACACCACCGTGATGGAATAACCCCTGGAGCCAAGGGCAAAGCCTGCCCCGAGTGTCCCTCGCCTGGGACCCTGGGACGTGGCCATGAGGTGTCATTGACAGACCAGCCACCCTCTGCTTGCACATATCCTGCTCCCCCAGCCACCCACTGGCATCACCCCATGCTGTGCACCCTTGGCACACCAGCCCAGGGCACCCCTGCTCCACCTCCATCACAGAGGCTCTTTCCCCAGGAACATCACAGGCTCTCTGTGTGCATCCCAGAGCGATGGTGTGACCCGAGTCCTGCAGTGAGCTGGCCCCTGAGCTTCCTCATCAGCTCCATCCAGAGATGCTTTTGGCTTGGACCAAATGCGATCTCCTGAAACGCTGCTGGGTGGAAGGAAGGGGAGAGGCAGAGCCAGCTCCAGAGCTGGCCTGGGTGAGGGCAGAGAAGGCAGACCCCACAGGCAGGGAGCTGGTGTGAGTGTGGCAGCCACCCCGGGGTGATGCTGCAACCTGGGGTGGCTGCTTGACACGGTGCTGTCCCGCAGACAGTGATCCCCAAGGAAAGAGGGGAAGGGAGGAGGGATAGAAGTGGGGTGTGAGCATGGGGAGAGGGAGGCAAAGAGGGTCCCACATCTCAAACATGGATGTGGGTTGAGTCTCTGTGCAAAGCCAAGTCCTGGGAGAGCCGTGCTGCCAGGCAGGGCTAGAACACCACGGACTGCAGGAGGCGGAAGCACATCATCAGGTCCAAGGGGATGGGGGGTTTCAGGAGGTTCCCGTCCAGCCGCAGGTACCGGAGCCGGGGCACGCTGTCCAGGTCGGAGGGGGAGAAGTCCTGGATGGACATCAGCGAGGTGGGGCAGATCTGTGTCCCGTTGATTTCTGCAGGGAGGAGAGGAAAAGCAGGATGCAGGTTAGAGGAAAGGGAAGGCAGAGAGGGATGCTCAAGACCGCCCTCCCTGCCTGCCTCTTGAATCCTAAAAATGAGGTTGCTTTGCCACCAAGAGGGGGATTCCCAGACTTTTCTAGAAAACAGCACAGCTCC